GCTGCCACGATTCACGCCGATTCTCAATCGGATAAGATCGCTCTGCGATCGAGGCAATACCAGCCGTTGGTACGCCAGACGGACTTTGTGTCCCAGCATGAATCTCCGGTTCACGGGGAAGCTAGGCTTTGTGCCGCGCTTCAAAAGTAGAGTGGCGAATGCCCCAAATCAATCATCTTCATCGGTTTGGATCGCTCCGCGATCAGGGATAGTAGGTCTATCAGGCTAGGGTGTAAGTCTAGGATATTAAGTGTATATATTTGTTTTGTTTTCTTTTTGTAATAAATATATTGTTATACGAAAGATCTGTGTCTGTGGTCGCTGTGAGTATCCATGACGTCACAAATGAAACAGGTACACATATATGATACATGATTAGTCATTGCAGGTTCGCGCACAAGACTACTGCGACCTTCTATCTGCGACTCTTCTGCGAAATAATGTCAACATTATCTGTACTTTGGTACAACCTGTAAATAAATAAATCCCATTATATTTTCTGACATTCATGTAGAGATATTAATATTTAAATATATCATATCTAACTACATATTAATATGTAACAATACAAAATAGAAGCTTTCACAGCTCAATAAACATTTTTTTTGATTTGTTGGATATAATATTTTAGTTTGTTATTACGATATTGTGTCTCGGGCCAACATCTGAACAGTAAGAAATAAAGACAATAGGTAGAAAAGAAAAGTCGTAGAAATGAAATTATTTGCTTTTATGTAAAAGAGTGTCATCAATATTTGTATGCTGGTTACTTTCAACCACAGATTAATTTAATTTTTTGGTTAATGTGTCTGATAAAAGGCGGAAATATTTTTTTAATCCCATGTTTTTGAAATCAGTATTTGTGTTTACAATTATTTCTTCATTTTGTCAATGTATTTTGTCTGTTTTTGTGTTTGCGCATGTTCAATAATACCTCATTTTAATTTTCTTTTAGTTTGCCCAATATAGAACAAAGATCATTCCATACTGTACTAGTACACGACTCGCATATTCATACTTTTCCTTGTCTAAATAAACAAACTCATATTATTTCCAAACATAGCGAATATTTTTAAATTAACGGGTTTTTGAACGAAGTTTATAGTTAGTATTGCATGTCCACCATAGAACGAACGCAAGGTATTGTTGAAAGCCCCTACACGTCCCACCTCTCCATTATTCATCTACTATCCACTCCACTATCAACTCCACCCATTTCCAATGTAGAATTTGAAATTATAGATCCAAGTTTTGCCGCTATCAGCAAACACATTTCATCGACTTCTTCTTCAATTATCTGTCATCGTTTCGAGTAGAGTCAAAGGTTTTCGAAAGATTGTTTGAGAGTCTAATGCCCAAGAAACGACTTTGTATAATTTAATAACTGGATATTGATATAATTCTTAGAGTAAGTTTTAGTTTGATCCGATTTTTTTGGAGTTGTTCAATTTTCACAACATTGCCAACTAAGCAAACAATCCAGAAAAATTAAACTAAAATTCAATTTCAATCTGATAGTCTAGATAATATTCAATAAAATGTCCTTTCCTTTTTGTGTATAAACAAGTTTAATTGCGAGAAAAGCAAAATATAGCAATTCCATACTTAATATGTTCGTTTTATAATTTACCTCAAGATGACACTTAACCTTTGCCGATTTGTTGGTAATATAGGACATTAAATTTTGTAATCTTCCGATGTTTAATTCTTTTCGGAATATAAAAATTGAATAATAGTTTAAATTTAAATGGAATTAGCTAAAATTTACTCTAATAAACAAGTTCGTCTACGACAAATAAAGTCTAAGAAAGCATTCAATGATTTTAAAGAATGGAATTTGTGCAACCTTTCCTGGAAGAATAAACATCGGCTTAGAACACTGAGAAAAAAGACAGGAACTTCAAAAAATGCAGCTCTGATTTAATTGTTGCAGACAAGAAACGTGATTTTCTGGCTTCGTTTCCTTTCAAGGATGAAAAATATCATGCGTTTTACCAAAGTGTCAGAGAATCGCAACATTAATCACCTTAATGTTACAGTGTTCTACTACAAAATAAAAAAAAGTGGAAGGAGTGTGCATTTTATTTGAAACGCCTCTCCTCATGGCACTTGTACAATTTTATGAGAAACTCAGAATGACATTTATCTTTTTCTAAAACGCAAGCATTGTTTTATGTCGGTGAATGAGTGAACTCCTGTATTAGTTACTTTTGTTAGTTCTGCCAGTCATTTAATTATTGGTAAATTGTGTTACTTTTAAACTTATTAAATAATTTGCTATATTTTTATAAGTTTCAGGAGAAGAGAATATTATGAGCTATTGAAAATGAACAATAGATTGATGTTAAGTTAAAGTTATGGGTTTAGAGCCTCAGTGAACCTCAAATCGAGTACCCATGTAAATGACCTGAAGTTCGTTATGGAACGCATTGAGATTTCTTTAAAATTGAGCCCCTTAAATGATCTAATTTTCTGGGGAATTTTCCCGTCTCAAATCATTCGACTCTCATTGATTGTCTTTTGCTGTGCATCTCTCATCGGTCGTCAACTTCACATGTCATGAGTTTTTCACATTTTTAATGCTACCTTTAATCCTACTCGCCCGATTGTACTGATTTATCTAAAGTTATTGTGAAAGAGCTTTCTGTACTCGAACCATTTTAACATCGGTTCCTTATTTGCATATCAAATAATTATGCTATTAAAATGCACTGATTTGATTTTAAATATGAAACTGTTATAGCAATCACTTAGCTGATTAAGTATGTGATTCCAAAACGATATTTATTTAATACTAGTTGCAAATGGCAGTTAAGTCACTACGAACAAGGAAAATTCTATTTCAAACTGAATTACAGTCAGGAAATATTACTTACACTTTCTTCTTCCATTTGAAGTTCGTATGCTGTTCAGGATAGAACTAAAAAACCTACTACTTATGCACATACGAATCAAACCGTCAAATACCTAATTCACATGATACACCTACTAAGGTATAGACATATTTCACTTAGCTAGTGTTCATAAATCACTTGATGCACATTCACAACATCTTTTTTTTTCTCTTTGGGTGCAAATTGTTTTCTTGAATTATTTACCTATAAATAATTCCCCAATATAAAAGGAAACCTTACTATTTTGTACACGAATAAAATTAAATGATTTTATGAGATGGCATCCTTTCATTATTATCTATAACCAAATACTACAGTTTCTAGAGTGTCAACTGTTTTTCGTTGGAGTACAAATTACCATGACTAATTTCTAAAGGACACCTATTCCTTTCAGGTTTCTCCTTAAAATCATTGCCAACTCATATATTGCCATTTAGAGTACATTGAAAATACAGTTATTTCATTTAAAAGACTGTTGTCTCTGAAAATAAAGAAATTGATAATTACTATGATATGGAGAAAATTACATTACATGTGAAGAAGGAGAGAGTAAGTTTTTGTGAAGAAAAAAAATGAAAAACTGTCCTTTAAATTCAATACATAATTCAGAATTAATTTATTAAAATGAGAACTTTATCAATAAAATAGAGAACTTTAAGCCCAACGTCAAATAGAATTTTAAAAAGTGTAATTTATGGCAGGTTTTTATAACTTAATGGATAGTTTCAACATGTATTCGTACCTCTTTATCAATGAGAAGACGTAAAATATAATTTTGACATTCATTTTGAACAAATACAGTATTTATGTATTTCAAGTAAATATCAATTTTTATATTTCTGACCATATTATTTTATTAAAAGTGTTGATTTACTCCAAAAACATAATACATTTGTGGAGAATTGTTTGTTTCCCTGGTAAAATTATAATTCTATTACAATTCCCTCTTAAAATATTCAGTGGAACCACTCAAGTTCAAAAAATATACACAGAATTTTTTTACGATTTTACTCAATTTTGGAACAGAATTGTTATTTTTATTTATATTATAGTCTATATTCCAAAAATATTCATTACTTATATTAAACAAAATAAGCAAATACATATATTAAACAAAAACACAGCTTTTTTACAGACAGGATGTGTTCAATTTTTCATCACGTTTAGAGTAAACCAAAACTTTCACATTATACTGCAGTGTCATTTTCCATCTGAAAATATTTTTTCTCGATATTACTGAAACGTAAAATATGCTACATTGCGATATGATGAAACAAAATTATAATGATTGAATGAAGATAAAGCTAATTTCTCATTCTCATTGCAGTTTTGCAAATATTCAGTCTAAGCTATTAGCATAAGTATTGATGATTATGCTAATAGTACAGACTGAATATTTGAGAGTATAACCAGGGTTTTTGTTATTCAAAATAATTAAATATTCACATTAAACCGTTTACTGAAGATGGAATTAAACGGTTTTTTGGGGGGCATACCGTTTAAAGTGGATAAAGCGCATATTTGAACACATATTTGCAGCATGTTGCAAAGACTTGAGTAAGACATTGATAAGTAAAACTAGAAAACGAAAGTTTGTGAGAAACGTTAGTCACTTTTAGAAACCAGCGCAAGAGAATTGCACCTCCTCTACACAAGCTCTTAGGCCGATAGGAGCGTCCAGAAGTAGAAACAACTGGTTATAAGCTAACAAGACTCTTAACTAACGAGAATGGGTCACAGATTGACGCGCTTTCTAGACTAATGCGTATGGGATCGTCCGGGTACTGTCGCCGTCTTTCTCTCCTTGTAATGTAACTACTATTGATCGTTTGCTGTGGTTGTTACTCTTCTTTGTCGGCAACCCGTGCAACAAACCAGGCTGATCGTCAAAGTTAAACTTAATACAAATAGAATTATTATACGTCTGAGTTCACGAATGCTCTGCTTTTTTTCGCATTTCTTGTTTCAAAATAGAGGAAATAATAGAGAGGAAGCTCGATATTCCTACGATAGGCGGTCTGCTTCTCGTCGGTGGCAGTCCGTGCGGCGTGCTCCTAGGTCTCCAGCCAGGGTCTGCACGACCTCGCCCTGAATTGCTCGTACCGCCCATCTAGCGCGCTGCACAGCAGGAATGCCAACTCTGCTTCAGCTCTTCCAAACGATTGCGCATCACCTGCAACAAAATGACGACAACTGTCACGCGGCAGCGCAAACGGTTTATGTATACAACATTCGAAGGAAAATGGATCCCACGTAGGTAGCGATGTGCTTTTAAAGTTGAATTGATGATTTCTCCCACTAAATTGATGCCTTATATTACGTGGCGAGGACTGATCTTCCGTCTGACCAAGCAAATTTCGCTACGCTCCTTTCACTTTCTAGCGGAGAGAGGAAACACTCGGGCGACGAATTCAGTTTGATTTTATCTTAGAAGCTTCAGTTAGGCTTGAGGGCTTTTACAAACCTACATGGGACAGCCGGCTTTACTTCCCCTCCGAACGAAGTCGTACAAAGTATTTTTTCGCCCTTAAAAATCCACGGCTTTGATCAGGTTTGAACCTGCAAACAGGTGTAACAGTCTAGTTCGCTAACCATTAAATCGCCGCCGCCATGGAAAGCAGCAATAGCCAAAATAAATGCTAATGTACGCATGATAAATTGATTCGTTTCCAGGTACGTGGACTGCTAAGGCAATTATTCTCATTAGTATAGTGCATGTTTATCGCGGGAGATGATATTTTTTGCCGGTTGGCGAGATCTGGTGCCGGCTTTCTAGTCGTCTTGTGGGGTTATCTCTAATGAGTTGTCTTCCACTAGCGGAGCACCGACCCTGTCGAGACTAGCTCTACCTCTCGAATGGTCTCTCAACATTTGTGGTAGTGTAGTGCATGTAGGAATAAAAATGTGTATGTAAGGTGTGAGGATAGGACAAGGAAGAGGAAGGAAAGATCGCGCCCCATTCGTGGCCGGTTGTTAGTGTGCTGCTCCGGCATTCGTCGGTTGTGAATCGTAGAAACCACGTAAAATTACAAATCTGAACAACCTACCACTATAATTCGTCTCCAGACAGCAGTTGAATTCGACTTAACTAGTGTGGAAAATCCTGACACCGTCGGAACCCGAACCCACCTACAACCTACCACATTGCAGGTTTGCCTGTCCATCCGTCCGTCTGACGGTCCGTCCGTCCATCTGTGCACAACTGTAGCGCATTCGGATTTTCTCCGAAATTGATACTTCTCTATCGTTCTTGCTCATGTCACGCACTCTGGAATTTGAAACCGAATTTTTTATTTTGGAGGGTACTTTACATGAATTCTCTAGAACTTTGTCAAACATTTCAAAAACATTGGCTTAAAACGTTTTTTCATGAAATTTTCTTGTTGAATGGTGCAAATGACGTTTAAGAGGTCTAACTTTCGTTGACTTCTCCAATTTTTCGAAAATTGAGTTGAAGAAATTAAAACTATAAAATTGAACACAGAGATTTTTGTCTCAGGCTAAGACTGTCGTACAAAATTACCATTTCAAAAGGGCCATTTTAATTTTTGAAAGAGAAAATAACAAGTTTACATTTTGAAAAAAAAACACGTAGTTTTGCATTTATTGCTATTACAATTTTCGTTTTTCTCAAAAACCACTCCAATTTTTTTTCTTTAATTCTCCCCCATTTAAAATTAGCGCTTTAATCCCTTAAATGTTCATGTATTGTTCGTTTCTTTCGAATATTGCAAACAAATTTGAAAACTACAAAACTGAAGGTAGACATTTTAACTCCAACCAAGTCTGTTGTACAAAATTAGTTTTTAAAATAAGTTAATGTAAAATGTTTGATAAAATGAGTAGTTTTCCGTAATTTCTACTGGAAATGAACTAAGTATACACACGTTTCACACCCCGCGAGAAAAACGGAATGAATTATACAAATAATAATTTATTTTAATTTTAATCATAATTTACTATTGAAAATGCTAATATTAATTATCTTTCTACTTTCTCGCTTTTTACTCAATTTGTACGGCTCACTTTATTGGATTTGTAAAAACATGAAGGTCCCCGAGAAAAATTGTACGATATGAAAAAAAATATAATTTACTATTGAAAATGTCAATATTCAATTTTTCTGAGAAAAAAAACGTTCAAAAAAGAAAGGACTCAGAGAATGGAATGAACAATTTAAAGACGCAGTGGCAGATAAAAATAATGTATACTTGAAATATCTTCAAACACGAAATGAAGAAACTAAGAAAGAATATAATTGCTATAAAAATAAAGCCAAAAGCCTATCTCGTACAGGGGGTGTTACTTAATAAGCGGTAAAACGTCCTTATTTAAAAGTAGTGGTTGGAGGGACAAGAGAGTGGTGGGGAGACGGTGAGAGGGGAGGTAAGTCCGCCATTATCGGCCACCCTGGCAAGTAGCGCTGTATAGGGGTTTTGCGAAGTAATTTTAAAAACAGAAAGTTTGATTTTGTGGATTTGTTCGCTAAAAGGACGACAGTAAACAACGGTTTCTCTTGGTGTTTGCATTCTCTGCACGTTTGCCGAAGTGATTGATTTTTTGGTTGTTTGGCAATTTTGGTAAAAAAGCCGAAATATAGACGTTGTTGGGTTCCCAATTGCCACAATAACAAAAGGGGAAATGCGGAAAAAACAAGGTTGTTTTCTTTTCCAAGTGAACCTGAATGGTAAGTGAAATGAAATACATGGCATGATTCTTACGAATGGTTTAACATTATTGGAATAATGGATTTTTTTTATATATTTACAAATAACCTGTGGCTATTTTATAAAAACATCTAATTTTGCTAACATAACCTAACTATTTTTAACAATTGTTAACGAACAATTTATTATTTATAGTCATTTTTATACCAACAACCTTAGATCTAATAC